TTTTTCCATGTAGTTCTGTATATATTTATTTATTCTTTTATCTATGCACTAATTTATTTATTTATTGATTCTTAAGTAATTTTTCGTCCACCACACCAGTGACATTACTTACAGTAAGAACAGCTGGCACAACATTATGATTTAAGGTTAAAGTAAATTTAAGTTAAAAACTTTCCATGCTATCTACACCAGAATACTCCCACAGTACCACCAAGTGGACATCATGCAGAAGTGATCCAGCGGCAGCAGTGAGAGAATATATTGACATTTCAAACATACTTATTAAACCAGAGGGCACATAACGCTGTGTGAGCAGGGGAGTAACGTGTTAGTAATTTACGGCCTCCTACAAAATGTGTGTGCAGAGAAGTTTGTAATTCAATGAGAAAAGAGACACCCTCCTTCGAGCCGGATTTGAACCAGCGACCTAAGGATCACTGTCAGAAACACCTACAGTCCTCCGCTCTACCAACTGAGCTATCGAAGGGGCACGTACTAGCTTGTGAGAGATGTTTCTTTCTACGGAAGAATATACATGAGAGTTTCCTTTCATGTGATACAACACAGCGGGTCAGGTTTCATTCATTCTTTATTTTTTCTTGTATTAATCACTCGTACTCCAGCAATTATTTTGCGATATTTACACTTTGCTTTTTCCCACCACATGTTTGAATGCTCTCTCCCATACCAGCACCATGACCACATCCCTCCCATCCACAGACGTTGGGATGAGGTACTGCCTTCAGTAGGGATGAGAACCAGTGATGGGAAAGAAATCCACATTTAAAGAAGGGACAAAACTGAAATGGTGAGTTTCTAGTTGTAGCTCAGACTCAATCAATCCAATTCAGCAAGTCAAGAGAAACTAATAAAAATAATAGTGACATCTACTTAAGTTTCTTGTTCATTGTTCAGAAATCAAAGCTTAAGGCCACAGATAATGTAAGTGAACTTTAGTTGCATATTTAGCGATTATACAGGTGGTGACATTTACGGAACGGCGATCAAAATGAACACCGGTCGTTTGCTAAGAATTAAATTCAAACTTTGAAATCTGAAGCGCCTTGCGTGATTGGTTGTTCAAAGATGGAATTCGTGATTTGATTGCCTTATGAAAGATGGATCTCGCCACTTGATTGGCGTTTAGAGAGATGGGCTATGCAGCACGGTTGGTTGTCAGAAGATGGACTTGGACATTTGATTTGCTCGCAAAAGATAGACTAAGCTGTAGAATTGGTTTTGAAAAGATGGACTTCGCGATGTGATTGGCCGTATCTGTGCAATCGAAGGGGCACGCACTGCCCTGTGGGAGATTTTTGTCTCTACAGAAGAATGTACATGAGAGTTTCCTTAATCAGAGTCACAGCAGGGGAGTAACCTGTCAGTAATATGCGGTCTCCTTCAAAATGTGTGTACAGACGGGTTTGTAGCTCAATGAGAAAAGAGAGACCCTCCTTCAAGCCGGATTTGAACCAGCGACCTAAGGATCACTGTCAGAAACACCTACAGGGTCCGTGTATGGTTTGGTCATTATATTTTCCTTTCAGAAGCTATCGAAGGGGCACACACTGTGCTGTGAGAGATGTTTGTTTCTACAGAAGAATGTACATGAGAGTTTCCTTTCATGTGATATGAATATTTCCCAGAAGTCTGTGTAAGCTATACAGCTTTGTATGTGTCTGTTAAAATGAGAACAACACAGCGGGTCAGGTTTCATTCATTCTTTATTTTTTCTTGTATTAATCACTCGTACTCCAGCAATTATTTTGCGATATTTACACTTTGCTTTTTCCCACCACATGTTTGAATGCTCTCTCCCATAGCAGCACCGTGACCACATCCCTCCCATCCACAGACGTTGGGATGAGGTACTGCCTTCAGTAGGGATGAGAACCAGTGATGGGAAAGAAATCCACATTTAAAGAAGGGACAAAACTGAAATGGTGAGTTTCTAGTTGTAGCTGTTTGCTACATTGCTCGCATGGTTTCAGACACTGCACACCATGGATCAAATCAGCCTTCAAATCAACCATTAGTCTCTCCCAAAGACACTTGAGGCTCATTAATAACTCTTCTTTTTATCCCCACAAAAACTAAATAATGGCCACCTCAGACTCAATAAATCCAATTCAGCAAGCCAAGAGAAACTAATAAAACTAATAGTGACATTTATTTCAGTTTCATTGTTTAGAAATCAAAGCCATTCAAATTAAAAGCAACATAAGTGACTCACTGATCATACAGGATCATTGTGCAGTGTTTGGGCCAACAGAGCAAGAAAACTGCTACAACACAAGAGGAAATTGGGATTTGATAACATTTTACAATGTTTAAAACAATCATTTTCATCATGCCACCTGTACTTTAATAGTTCTGCTGCTTAAAGAGGGGTGGACATGGAGCAGAACATCCATCAACAAATCTGCCACGAAAACCCTTCAGGGTCACAAATATTGAGAGCTCCAGTAGCAGGACAGATGATATGAAGAAAATGAAAGTCTACTTTACCTCACAGAAGAGCAAGGGTACAAGGGTTTAACTTGTTTAAATTCATTACATTTCACACTCAGATAGAAGTCTACCATCAAATTCCTTTTCCAAAGAAAAGACGACGCAAGTCAGCTTAACGTCTGTACACAATGAAAAAAAAAGACTGTATTTAACAATACTGTCTTTGTAAACCAATTGTAACAAATGAAAAAGGGCATAATTAATACAACATAAATGTACAAAATAAAAAAAGGCAATTTACTCTATGATAGTGTCAAGAAAAATGCTATTAAAAAGCAAAGGTGTAACTACATTTCATATTCAAAAAACAAAAAACAAAGAAGTTACCGTACAGGGAGTACCATCATCAGCGGAGTACCCAAATAATACCCTAAACTGGGAGCGTGTTGGTAGTATACACAGTACACAGATCCTCTTTTTCACACACACACACACACACACACACACACACACACACACACACACACACACACACACACACACACACACACACACACACACACACACACATACACATACAGGTCTGTTAACATTGGGATAGGAGGTCATTTAAAGACCCAACTCAGAGACTGGGCAGTGTGCTGATCAGTCAGGAGGGGTAGAGACGACCAGAGGAGAGGTGTCGAGATAAGGATGATAACGCGTTTATCATTCCTTCTTCTCAGATTGCATATAGAGTCCAAAACGGGAAAATTGATTGAACAATGATTTATGATAACAATAACAATGAATTATTATGATTTAATAATAATTAATTATTTTATTATTCATTTATCGATCCAACACAAAAAAGAAACAAGGGCTTATTTTTCATTCTTTTGATTTTATGCTCAAGTCAAAAATAGGAACAGACTGAAATTGATTCATTGTGTCCCATTTGTGTCACCAGGTCACTTAAAGCCTGCATGCAGTGAATGGTGGTACCTGATGTAATGTGACTCACTGTATCCATGGTAACATTATACTAACTGTTTTTTGTTTATCTGTTTGTGAAAGTGAAGACTTTTAACGTGACATTTTCTAAAATAATTAAAAATTTAATATTCCACAAAAAGGGGCCGTGTACAATCGGATTTTTTTCTTCCTATTTTTGACTTAATAAACAAAATGAAGTACAGCAAATAAGCTGTTATAGTTTTTTTGTGTTTGATGAAGAAATATTTTTTTCATTTTCCAGTGTTGGATTCTACATTGAATATGAAAAGAATGAATAATGATGCTACTTATTTTCCTAGTCGTAGATTAAAGGTCCCATACTGTGTATCTTTTACAATCTGGCTTTTTGCATTCACACTGATCCTCCGGTGCAGGCGCAGAATACTGCTCAGTCCCTGATTCTGGTCCCTGATTGGCCGACACAGCAGCTCATCTGATTTAAATGAGGTAAACCTACAGACTGACGGCCTTCTGCTTTCACTGGACGGACTGAAGCTATGTGCAAGTGATGCCAGCCAATCAGGAGCAAGTCCAGTTGTGGAGTGTTTCCTGTAGTTGTTCTAATGGTGCATTTATGCAGTGTTGGAATAATCGGAAAAATCTGCTTCCGAGTGGGAAAATTCCAGTCAACGCTCCCTCAAGTATGGCTGGGGGTTTTTCACACCACATCACACGTATCATTTTACTTCAATTAATTACATCTTTGGAGATGTGAAACACCACCACATCTGTAATGTCATATCATTAGAGCCCCTTTTTCTCACATGGGAGACTGGGAAAATAATTCTACATGTTCTGTGTAGATGAGTGGATTGTGGCTGAGCAGCTGCATATCCCCACATTATAACATTTGTAGTTTAAATGTCATTTTATGATACAACCCGTTTTTTTGGGATCGTTTTAAAATGTAAAAACGAATAAATTGAATTGATTTATCGATCAGCTCTATTGGAAAGTCGACAAATATTTTGGTACACGACTTCCAGCATATATAATACAGCACATCTTCTGCTGTTTTCACATTGTGACTTAAAGCTCGTGAACGCACCAACGTCGGAGAGCGACTTGCCAACAATCCGAGGAGCATGTGAATGTTTTTGTTGATCTCAAGTAAGATGGACATTTACATAAATATGGGACCATAAACAGATGTCTTTCTACCAGAATTTGGTAGCAGGGTCCTTGTCTTTTGATCAAATTTGTAGAATGGTGGTCAAGTTCATAGTAGTTACTGACAACCACGTGATGAGGCTTTACCAACTCCAGTGTCCTTGACTAGTTGTCCAGCTTGACCAACTAGCATGTGTTTGAATATTATTTTTTTTGGGTGTGTTTGGGCAGACCAGACGATGATGTCTGCTTCAGTTCTACCTCTCGTCCTCTCCATCCTCCCCAACCTTTCAACCCTCTGCCCAATCCGAGGGGCGTTCTGGCTGTTGAGACCAGCCCCAGGCTCTTGGTTCATTCCAAGCACCAATAATGAAGCTCATTCAACCCGAACTAAACGTTTCAAACAAATCCTCAACGCTTAATTCTAGGCAGCCCCGAAATGCTCATCTTCATCAGGTTTTTATTCAAATCGTGACAGGATACAACAGCGTTCACATCCACTGAGACCATATGAACCGTCAAAAAGGGACAAAAAATAAACATAAAATAAAGATATGTAAGTAAATACTGGTACCTGTGTATCTAAGGTTAACTTGTACCACAGTGGCTCAATAGTAAGACTCCAAATAGGCCCAAATGGTTAGGCCTTAGTTTGGTCTTTTGTCATTTCACACACAATCAAACATACAGAGCCTAGGTCATATAAAAACCCATCGAGTCAAAAGTAAGAGGTAAAGTATGGAATGACGTTAAATGAGGATTATAGTAACGACGATAAAAAAAGGTAGATAACTGATAGTAACGTTTGGATTTGTTCCAGGAGCTTGCAGGTTGAGGTGTAGTTCATCGGTATCACCACAAGAGGGAGCAACAGCACTAAACTTCAACCACAGACAAGCAGGTGGTTTGAATAAAGCAAGCACACAATCCATCTGTCTCTCTCTTTCCCCTCGTCACTCTTGGTTTCCTCGTGTTTTTAGTGATAGCTAAAGTACCTGTTAAGTACCATACAAGTTAGTTTTACTATACTCCTACCCTAGGCTACATTCACCATCTTTCTCTCTTTCTGCTACATCATTCCTGCTCTCCTTCTCCTGTCCCCTCCCCCCACCTCTCCAACTTCTTTCTCTCTTTGTCCTTTCTCTCCCAGTTTTCAATGAACTGCTCTAAAATCGTACCGTCTTTACCTGGCTACTCGTTCTCTCAGTAAAGTAAACTTGTTTTGACCTATGTATTAGTACCGATTCATTCTCACTTACATTTAGTACCTAGCTGTTCAGTAGTTAAAACCTTGAGTGCCACCGTTCTCGCTGCTGGTGTCTTAGCCTCCTCCTCCTCCTCCTCCCCTGCGTTGCCTTTCTTTCTGTGCTGCAGCTTCCTCAGACTCCCTCCTACTTCTGCTGATGTGCTTGCTCTAAAACTGTGAAGTTTGGACGGACTCGCGTTGACAGGCGGACCCCGCAGTGACTCGATCAACATCTTGAAAAGTGGTTACCTCGGCAAAACAAAATCTGTGTCTCCTACAACCCGAAACGTCCCCCTGCACCCCATTTAAGTGCTGGCAGAGAGAGTGTGTCTCAGTCTAGGACCTCCTCCCACTTTTTATTTTCATGGTCAGTCCCTTCCTCTACTCCTCGTCCTCCCTGTCACCCTTCACTCATCTCACACGGATGTCTCCTGTTTTCTACGCTGCCCACCAAGGTCGCTGTCCTTTCACTTTTCCATCAGTCCGTCGTCCTCTGTGATGCCCTGAGCCCGGAGCTCTTCCAGGACGTTGTCGAGGTGTCCGGGGTCGGGGAAGCCGTGTCCCGTCAGGTTGGAGCCAAACTCGGTCTTGTGGTGGACCTTGAAGACAGGGCAAAAATAATGTCTTTTGAGTCAGTGACAACAAACCTGATGTGCATATATATCACAAACTACAGACTGACCAATCCATTCTTGAGTCACAGTCAGACCTTTTAAAAACCATTTTGAATGCAATTTAAGACCTATTTTAGATCCATACTGGCAAAATAGTACAGAGGATATGAAGGAAAATCGATATTGGTTTCATGTCAGTTTCGTTTTTGTAGTTGTTACAGCGTGATCAATAACAAAATGTTCCCAAAAACACATTTTAAAGGCAAGACTGAAAAATGCAACTTCATACAGGTGACGTTAACTTCAATCAATCAATTGTTGGATTCCACCCTGATGTACCTCGTTCCAGATGACGGTGTCAGACTCTCCTGTAGTGCTCGAAGTACCAACTGAGAAGATCAACCTGCGGTCCCACGCCACCAGGAGCAGTCTCAGTACCTGAAACCAACAGGTTTTTTTTTTTTTTTAGAAAAAGACCTTTAAAAATGGATCTGTAGAACAGATCTACGTCGGCTGCTGTCGAGTGTCCGTGGATTGTGTTTACCTTGCGTCCTTTCTCGCTGTCTGGGAGGTAGCAGTGTCGGGGAAAGCCTCTGGCAGTGAAGGGCTTTCCTGGGTTCGGATGCTCTGGTCCCTGAAAGGAGAGGATTCATATTAGTAGGCATTCGCGCTGATCAACTTATACCGCAGACGAGAATACAACCAACGGTGCGGTCAGTTCTGGAGTACCTGAATGCCTGGTGGTATGTTGTAGATGATGCGTACGGTTTTGCAGTCAGGATGCCCTGGTAGAGAGTGAGGGATGACGTGGTACTCCATCTTCCCTGCCGGTTGGTTGCCTGTCTTGACGCCGTAGATGGCTTTACAGGTGGGGCACTGAAGACTGAGTAGAGAGGATGAGGTTGATTATTATTATTATTATTATTGTTATTATTATTATTAAGTTAAGAGACAGTCTCTCTGTCTCTAACCTACCTGCCGTCCTTGTTGCCGTTATTATACATCGCCACCAGACACTGGAAATGGTACTGGTGCCCACACTGTGCTAGTCGCCCGACTGACTCCGCCCGAGACACGGGCCCCACCCCTGGACCCTTGTATCCTGACGGACCCCCCAACGGCTCCATACAGATGGTACAGTCCTAGGATAAGACAAGGAAAAGGAAACCCATTATAAAAACCATATGCCTCTCTGTACCAGTTAGGAATATGAAAGATATAGGTGCTGTTCATACCTCCTCTGGTGGGCTTTTTACTTTCTGCAGGTACTTCTTTACCACCTCCTCTGGAGTTTTACCTGAAGACAGAAAGGAGAGGGAACAGAAGAAGATGATTATTTTTTTCTCAAGGGCAGAAACCATCAAACCACTGCAGCTGTGATGTTTTTCTACAGCTGGTCTCGACTTGAGTGCTTACCCTTGCGGGCCTGTTTCTTTGTGGTTTTTCTGCAGCAGTGGCCAAAGCCTGGCACCGGTTTGATGTCACTCTTGCTGACAGGTGGAGGGTGCAGCACGAGTTTAGGAGGCCTGGTCAGACACACGGGCAGAGCGGCAGCACTCATCAGGATACCCGTGATCCCTGAAATACAGCAGAGAGACACTGAGAAAAAGATCGTCCCCTGTGGTTTCTTGTGAAATTCCCAGAAGTCCTCAACTTTTTCTATCTGTGACCAGGAGCAGGCCTTGGTTAGAGAGCAGGTTCTTACCGGCCAGTGCAGGGTGAACAGGACTGGATCCATTGAGGTTCTTCACTGGGACGGTGGGCACACTGGAAGAGGAGACAAAAAGTGTTTAGTTTGGTGTATTTCCTGTGAATTCCGATCAGACACGAGAGGCTGGCAGAGACTTTGACTTTTACTTTAACCTGGAGAATCTGTAGAATAGATACTCACTTTGAAAAACAGATGACTGTCATTTTCACACTCAAGAGGTTACAGTTGAGAGAACCAAAGTGACAAAATGTGTCTGTTTCTTCTAGAAACTTCCAAGAGGGACAAAACGGAATAGAAAAAATGTGTCAAAAGATACTTAAAGCGACTCAGCTCTCCCTCTTTCTGTGCCCTGTCTGTCCTTCTATCTCTCCTTTCCTCCGTTTGTGTCTCCTTGTCTGACAGTGTACTGCTTCGTCCGGCAGCTCGAGAGTGTATGAATGACTACGCCCGGCGGTGTGTGTGTTTATGAGAGGTAATCCACGGAGTTTCCATCTGCTCAATGAGCTCAAAGAGATGGACGTCACACAGCTGCTTGCTGGGGATTACCTGCCTCGTCACAAAGCCCATCATCATCATCATCTCTAAGTGCTCTAAGTGACAAACACACACGGATCACACACACGGACTCAGATCATTAGTTCTTAGGGAATGTTATAGGATTTTCCACAGTCCCGTATATTTGAGCTTTACTCTCATAAATAAACATTTGGTGCAGTGTTTTCATGGTCAGGGTCTGAGGTCTGTGGCTCTTTGCATTCAGTTTTTTTCTCACTGAAATGCTTAACTTAAAGTAGTTAGTCATAAACTACTCAGCTGACAGCTGTATGTGCCATCACAGCCATTCAGCTGGGGTCAGTGGCAGGTTATTCATTGAAGACTACACTTACAGACCTGGAGGCTACTCAGGCTGTAGAACAAAACACACACACCCACTTAGTCGTAAAATGGATGCTGAAGGGGAGGAAATAAACACACACTCGATGAGGATGTCTGGAGGCTGTGTTCAAGCTCCAAGTGTCTGATAAACTCCAAGACTGGCCAAACAGAAATGTGTCCGTGTTGCCATGTGAGTAAATGTAAAGATCAACTCTTTATCTAGGGAGCAATGGAAGCTGTGATTCAAGAAGAAACACAAACACCTAGCAGACAGGCCCATATGAAACTGCCCATCCTTCCAGCTGGACTTGAAACGGCGACCTAAGGATAGCCGTATTCTCCACTACAGCCCTTGAAGTCAACAGGTTTTTGATCAGATGTCTGAAATAAGGTCTGTGGTTCACACAAGTTTAGGACATTTTCACATTTTGTTCTACAACATGAAACACGTCAGTAAATACCCCAACATGTGAATTCTGACGCTTTTACGTGTTGGTGACATTAAAGCACACCGAACAGATATTCTACTCGCTGTTCTGCCTTTACAGCCTCATTGTGTTTGTACTCATGCTCTTGCAAAGTATTCTAACTCAAACTTTACAACCTGTAGATCTTAATTACAAGATTACAAGTTTAATGGTGGCGATGCTGAAGTCATGTGACCATGAGGTGTTCATTTATAGCCTAATGTTAGCTTTTTACTTATGGTCATTGCATTTACGGTTCAAAGATCTGAAAAGTGGTGTTGATTTGTGAAGATTATCTTGCTGGACAAAATGTGTTTGTGTTTCTGCAACAAACCAAAAGCCAATGGAAAAATCCCAATTCAATTTTTGTCAAAGGAGCCAGGGCTTCCAAGTTGGCCTACAAAAATACGTCATCCCAGTGGCAGCTGAACCCTCGTCATCATCATCAACTGTAAACACAATCACTCGCAGTAACAGACTAGTATAGGCGGGGTGACAGGCAGAAGGACAGAGTGCGGTGGTGATCTGTTGTTGGTTTAGCTTTAACAGGCTTTCTGTCAGTGTACTAAGCTGCTTTCACTTAACCCTACTCAGTGACACATGACGACGCGCGAGTGAATGACTCACTTGGATGTGTGTGTGTGTGTGTGTGTGTGTGTGTGTGTGTGTGTGTGTGAGTGTAAGTCTGCACTAGTGTGAGGGTGAGGGAAATAGTATGAGAGAATGACTGTGTGTGGGACCGGGTGTTACTTCACACTTCAGAGAGAAAACGCAAAACATCAAGTGTGAGCAGAAGAGTAAATATACAGAGTCAGGGCTAAACAACAGAAAGCAATGATGTAATCTGCCATGAATACAAGTTAATAGATGTCACCAGGTGATACAGGTCCACAGTGAGCTTGCAAAACTCAATTACAATTGAAGTGCCATGACATCGCAGGGTGAAGAAAGATTAATAGAAATTGATACACAGACAGACACTTTTCTGCCTGTAGCTGTGATATAGTAGTGGGGTAGATTACCACAGAGGGTCAGAGCAGTAGTGGGACAGGTCACAGCACACATCCGTCTAGACACATTCAAACCAGCCAACTTAAGATGTCTACAGAGAACCTGTACAGGTTTCTACAACAAATTCAAATCTTCAAATCACTAAAACAATTTTCTTGTTTCACTGTATATACTGCATAGTTGGACTGTTGTTCACACAGGTTTTGTCTGCATGTACAGTTTGCATGGGCATACATTTTGCCCATACATCATACCCCATGGGCATGGATGGACAGATGACAAAAACCTAGGTTTCCACTATTTTTAAGCAATCTATTTCCAGTAGGGGTGGGCGATAGGGGCAAAAAATAATATCTAGTTATTTTTGGGGTTTTGGCGATAACGATAATCAGTCGATATCCTTTAAAATGTGATCTGAAGTACCGGTAGTTTCAGGGACTGGAGGTGTTTGCATTTTCTCTCTACCATCACAACGCGCTGCTAAACTGTTGCAGGGAGCATGCTAGCGAGAGGTCATGTGATCACGTCATGTGATCATGTAGGCCCACTAGTCGTGTGACTGAATCCTGCCATGCTGAAGAGAGCGCTGCTGCACCGTGTATTAAGTGGATGTGAGGAGTTTCCGCGTGCGTTTAAATGTTTTTGGCGAAGTAATTTAAATACTTGATAATGGAAATTTGCACATCGTCAAAACAACAATGACGATACTATTGCAAACGATATATATCGCCCACCTCTACTTTCCAGGAGCTTTCCAGGACATTTTCCTGGAGTTTTTCTTTACAATATGAGACAGTACTTGTTTACTGCTGTGAGCTTTCTTTCATGGGGCGCTTGAAGGTTCTCAGCACAGCTGATTCTTTACGCTTTCTGAATTGAATGAATCAGTTTTTCTTAGACATTCATTTGGCCACAGCTCAGACTAACATACAATAAAAAATTTCCAGGACAACATAGATTATTTACAGGATATTTAGTCATTTAAATCAATTTCCCGGTGTGTCCAAGACTGGAAAACTAATCTCTAAATTTCCAGGTTTTCCAGGATGCGTGGGAACCCTGAAAAATATCATGTGAAAACAAAGCCATGTGGATGCAAAGTATAGATAAGTATATCGTTCTGTCCAGTCCTTACTAATACCTCATCGTCACCCACGGGAGGTCTAATAACAGTAGATAACTCTTTATGTCTAATGCCTGGTTCAGACTACGATATCAGCCCAATACAAGCCGGACCTGACAGATGTAGGGCAAACAAAAATGGGTGATAATTGATTTATCAGTGGATAACAACCAATGCTGCAACTGGACCGTCTCACAACCTCCAGACACACAGACGAGGGCGTCAGAATTTTGTTCGCCTTCGACAACAAATTCCCGACGTGTTCCATGACGTTGACCAATAGGAGCAAAGAGCACTCTGTAACCATGGCGAAGTAAAAGACGAATAATGATGTTAGTGCTGCGAGGTGGGACTACGAAACAGAGTAAAGGTCATGGTTGTTTTTATCTTTCTTTTTTAAGGCTTTTCTGAACACAAGCCAGTATCATGCTCACCACCACCGATCCTCTACATTCTTGTTCCTGGTCGGCCCCGAGCCCCTTCGTCTTTAGGTCTATTGATTGTGCTCCGATTTATGAAAACATGGGTTTTCTGTGCTTTCTGCTTAGTACATGCATCATGCTGAAAAGACTAATGAGCCAGACTTAACCAGACTACTGCCCAGATGGGATTGGAGCCTCTGGCCCCGCCCACAGAATACATGGTTGAATGTGGCTACCGATGCATCTTAATCATAACAAATTTCCATCTACGTTGACCAGATTAGGTTCAGCAGGAAAGCGCTCTGCTGTCACACGCACTCAGAGTAGTTTAAGATCTTAAATGTGTCGCAAAGATTTATTTATGACAACAGACAGGCCTCCTCTGTTATAAATAGGCTGATGACGGATGGGAAACACCTGTATTAGATCTGCACCGGATCAAGTCAATGAGTGGTGATGACAGTGAACACACACACACACACACACACACACACGCACTAATCACTTGTTGCCAATCACTGGATCTATTAATAATTAATAGGCCGCCGCATTAGCAAGGAAGGCTTTACAGTATGAGGTAAGGAAGAGACACAGGAGTGTTGAGTCAAGTCTGATCCTCTATAAGCCTCTTGTTGCTCAATAACACACTTTCAGCTGCCCCACTGATGTGCTGATGACACACACACACACACACACACACACACACACACACCGCTCCAACCCCACACACACACACACACACACACACACACACACACACACACACACACACACACAGCTTGCCTTTATCTCTCACCTCTTTATTAACAAAGTCGACCCACTAAGTCTGTCAGTTATCACAGTGACTTCTGATTTCTGAAAGCAATAATCGTCTCTGATACCTACTTTCTAATGTTAGTGCACACTTACAGTATTCGTATACATATCATTTGGTTTGTACAGGAGATGGCACACCAAAAACAACCGATTGTGAGGGAAGTTATTTTGTCACTGTATATAATACAGAACTTTAGTCAAAGTCAAAGAAGATTAAAAGTTGGATCCATATTGGTATTCACAGTATGGTTTCAGTGTCAGTACTCAAACTAAGGTACTGTATTATCACTGGTATCAAATTTGTCCACAACCCAAAGAGGAATGCCGATTCATTTAATTGTTGACAGCTAATTGATTAATTTTGCTACTTTTGCTAACAGCGACCAGGAGTTAAAAGATTATGCTTAGTAAAAACTTGATGAAAGATTGAAGGGGGATGGGACTGAATGGGACTCCAGTCTCTTGACCCCCCACGACCTCAAACCCACCCTCCTACCCTCCGCCCGCTTCCCACCAGATCACACACTCCCTCAGCTTTGTCTCCCACACCCCCTCCATCCTTCTGCTCCTCTTATTCCTCCAGGGCCCAGATGGACATCAGCTGGACTGATTTAGACACGAGACAATAACACACTCCCACACATTCTCTCTCACACACACACACATTGTCACACGCACATAAAGCTACACCCATAGCCTCAAACACACTCCTATAGGCACACACACTCTTACTCACACACTTGCTAATTTCAAGCGAACTTCCTCTGCTTTAGTGAAGAATAATTTGATGTGACAGAAAGTGGTAGACAGGTTTGCTGCTGGGGGACCGAATGTGTGACATTTCCTAAAATCTGATTTTTAAAGAAATGTGAGCTGGGAGAGAAAGGCGTGTGTTCTTTGAATAAATGATGCCTGGCTTTAAATGTGGAAAAAAACATGGTGGCTGAGGAAGTTGATTATGGAAACTCACCAAGCATAAACCTTTCCAAAACGTATCTATAAATACTGTTCTGGATGTAAATTGCATATAATTAGCAAGAAAGCAGGACATGAGATGCTTACATGAATGTTTTGTACACTTCTCTTTGCTAATGAGAAAGCGAGAGGGGATTAAATGACAATATGGCTGCCATTAACCCACAAACCTGTTTTATCAGCCTGCACATAAAGAAAAGAAGCCAGGCAGTGGAGGCAGTGTTACTCTGGGAACAATTTGCCAAAGTCAAATTGATCTCCCAAGGCTCGTGTCACAACTGATATGTACATGCTTTCACCTTCTAAACTCTTTTCATTCTTCTCTCACATTCAAGGATATCAGTTTGGTCTAAGGTTTTATTCTGCATTCCCTGAATGTGTGTGAATGTAATGGATTTCCCCCCCTCTCTGTGGTTACAGCACCCTCTATGGGCCACATATGATTCAATCCTCCAGGGAGCTGTATGTGTCTGCAACCTGTTGGGGAACTGAACAGGTGCCAACCCATTCTCACTGGCCATTCCTGATCCTCTCCCCTAATAAAGTTAAGACTTTCTCTCTTTCTCGCACCCTTTCCTGCTTAGTTTGCTTATTTCCTCAGTGTGCTGTCTGTGCAGCCCCCTACCCTCAACACACCAGCCCCCCTCCCTCACTCATTCATTCCCTTTGTCTCGTTCCTATAATCCCCCACTGGAGAGAGAGTCAGCACACATTCTTCACTGCATCTCCCCTTACGATTGTCAATATTTACTTTTACTGTGTGTGTGAGAGAAGGACAATGTGTGTGACTGTGTGCATTTGTTAAATGCCTTCACAGCATCTGTGTGTGTGTGTGTGTGTCACCTCCCTTCCTCTCTCTCCCTTCCTCTCTCTCTCTCTCTCTGGAGTTGGCCTGATTTCTTGCACCGCTGTGTGATCAATCTCTGACAGTTTGCTGACTCGTTTCTTTGTCTTGCACCCCCCACTCTATTCCAATAGGCCCTTGTCTTGGCTGCAGTCTGAGTCCGAGACTGTCTACACACACACACACACACACACACACACACACACACACACGTATATAAATGTATACACACCCCTCCCGGCCTCAGAATTGTGACTGTCTGGGGTTAGTAACAATGCTGACTGGACCAGTACCATTGTCTCACCCTCCCCCATTGGAAAAATATTCCCATTATGAATATTCTGCTAGATCAGCACTGGCATCTATATGATGTAGTATTCCACCACATCCATCCACCCCCAAAAAACCCACCTACCCCAATAAATGCTATGAGCTTGTAAGTACGGCCTCTTTATTAACTGGGAGAGTTATGTTTAAAATAGCCCCAAACTCTACAGGCTGCTAAAAGGATACAGAGCCACAGAGGTAAAAACAGTGAGAACTCATGAAAATAAAAACAAGACAGGATGGGCAGAGAGAGGGGGAAGGAGACGAGAGTAGAAAAAAGAGAAAACTAGCGGAGGCTCAGCATTGTGCTGCTAATGTGGCCCAGGCTTGGGTAATCCAACAAAGGTTACTGTGGAGACCAACAATGAGGCTCTGAGGGGCCCAGACTGCTGAGACGCGACGGGAGAGGAGGGAGGAGAGGAGTCAGGGTAGGAGAGGAGGGGGTGGTGGAGAACGAGGTTTAAGGAGGGGGTTACTGCCAAAATAAAAATCTACATCTCAAAACCATCTAACCTTGCTTTCATTATCTTCAACGATCCTGTTTTTTCGGTCTCTGGTGCCAAACTAAAACTGAAAACACATCACTTCCTTTTTCACACGAACAGAAACATACACCTGCTTTCATAAGATGGCTTTAATCACTGTCCTGTGACATCATGGGATGTTAGAAAATGTCACAATGAAATCTAGTTTTTCTTTCCGGTTACAGTACCCAAGAATCTGTTTGAAGAGGTTGAGCTGGAAGCAGATTACAAAATCAGCCCGTGGGTGATTGAGCAAAACTTTCCCTTCCTTGGTATGACTGTGAAGCCCGGCCAAGCTGGAAAAGACAGCAAGTGAGCAATCAGTCAGAACTTCCTAGGTTAAATTAAAGAGCCAAAAGGAAAAGAGGTATCACAGAATTTATTTACGGGGTTTCACGGTATATTGGCCTTTTTATAAATGTATGTATATGTATATAAATGTATACAAGGCATAGAGTATAGATAGGAGAGACAAGAGTAACAGGGAGGGAGTTGTTCATAGATTTAGTTGGAAATTTTAGCTCAGAAAAACATGATGATAAAACATGGATGACAGGAAAGAGGAGGGGGTTATGGGCTAGAGAACAATTAGAAAAGAAGAAGGGGTTCAAGGGTACTTTTGGGAGGGCCGGGGGGGAGCCAGAGAGCGTGTTCAGGCTGAGAGGAGAGCGGGTGGGGGAGGAGAGTGGGTGAGGCGGGCGAGTTTACTCCAAACATTCACTGTCATCTACAGCTGGTCAACAGTGTCAGTTGCTTGAATGTGTTTTGGTATTTGTGTTTTCAGTTTACTGCTTCTCCTCACACTGTCTTGCCATCAAACAAGAAGACCTCAAGTGGCACTGAACACAGGCTCACAGAACAGTCTGTAAATGCACTGGACTGGGTTCAGTTTCGGGTATGCTGCTCAAAGACTGATAGTGTGACAGAAAGACATAAGAAGACAGGGTTATCTTTAAAGTGTTGTTTTGGCGTCCCACCATGATCGTTCCCCGTGAGTATCAGAGAACAGGGGTTACGCGTTTGCACAGGTATAGCACATTTGCTCGTCCACCTCTTGCGTTAAAATAAATTTCAATTCAGCAAGTGTGCTTTTGATTTGTGTGCCCGTGTGATTCCTGAAGTCTCTGCAGTGGTTAGGTGGACCCCTAACAGAGCCGCTCTCTACTCAGACCTTTGCACCATGCATACCGCTGTATGCATAAAATAGCTTCAGAGAGAGGGAGGTACTGCTGACCCCGTGACCTTCACACTCGTTCATCTGCCCACCCCCACAATCCCTCCTTCCCTCCCCTTCTGCTCTACAGATGCCACTTCACAGATGGACAGCACACAGAAGGCTCGGCTGACTTTTGACACACACACACACACACACACACACACACACACACACACACACACCCTCCAAGTAAACTGTTAAAAGGTCAGTTTAAAATGTTATGACTTCAGTTTGGACTTGCTTCCATGTTTCATGAAGATTATCTGAATTCCCATTAATCTACATTTATTGTTACTTAACATGCATTTGTATGCAAGTGTTTCAAATGATAAGGTCACCAGACACCACTGCCCGCTAGTACAGCTGACACCAGACACATGAATACAATTAAAGCAAATTAAAATTCGTCTTCGCTGTCTTCTGCCTGTTAATCTATCTGTCACCTTCATGCAACGTGTCACCTTCACTTCTGTTTAGTGCCTTTTGCACAACGCAGTGTCTAATTCAAGAAATTACAGGTCTGACTCCCTAAGATACAACCAGAACAACAACAGAACAGATATGTCCAATAGGAATGAATGTGAGTCACACCTCTGAAATCACTCAGTGGAGAGCAACAAACGCATGACTCATTACAACACTAACAAGCACAACACCTTCTGATGGGCGTTACAAGGGTTGTATGTATGCTTGTGAATGTGTGTGTACATATTTAGCGCTGCGTGCCCATGAGTGTTTTTACATGTCTGAACATGAATGTGAAAATGGCAACGTGCTGATGATCATTTGTCAAGAGGATTTCTCACTGCGTGCCAGGACAGACTTAATAAATGTTTGTGATTGCAATGTGGCTGCAGGATGTGGGAAAATATGCAGTATGAGATGCACCTTAGGTACTGCAGTGACAATGTGAAATGCATAAAATGTTTCAGTGTCTGAAATTTTTGAATCCCTGAAAATGACTGCTGTGTAAATTATTTTAAACTTTAACACCTAATTACAACATTCAGTCCGCCTACTATGCTATTATTTGCATCTGTTCTGATCTGCCAAATAAAAAAGGGTTATTAAATTTAGATTTAGACCCACAGTTGTTGACTCTAAATCTGAATTTAGAAGCAGCAAAGCGGAGCAGGAGCTTTTTGAATCTCAGCTATTCTGATCCTGCAGCTCCTTATGATGTTTACTGTGGAAATTCATATCGCAATAAAGATAAAAATATGGTAACTTATGCAGCCCTAGAGTGCACCATCATCACCTTCATCTTCCTCAGACCATGATAAGTATAAAAGGCCTCTAATGAAGATAATGAGTGTGTGTATTCTTCCACAGTCAGAGCTCTTGTGTATGCTTTATTTACTCACCCTGATGCTATGAGCGCTCTGGACTGGGCCATTGCAATCCTCTGCAGCGCTGGTCTGCTCAGCCCAGCTAAGCTTGATCTCTGTGGCAACGGGGCATGGCACATGGTTGCAGCGGACGACGGTGTGCGCTGTGGCTTCATCACCACTGGCGACGGAGAGGGCACAGGAGAGGGGGGCGTGGTCACGCTGTTGGCAGGGGAAATTAGCGTGGCGGTTGGCACTGATTCGCTGGCTGACGATGAGGAGGAGTGTTTGGCAGGGACGGACGGGGGATTCAGATTCGGGTTGGATGATGGAGGCTGAGGCGGTGGGAGGGACGGCGGAGGCGGCCTGTTGAAAGATGAGATGCCCATGGAGGAGGTGCCAGCGGTGAGGGCGGCCAGAGACTGAGCGAAGAGCTGAGCGTTCCTTCGCGGGGAGGCAATGTTTCTGGAGATGGCGAGGCCGTGTGGCAGCGTCTGATAGTAGTTGGAGTTAGAGTTGGAGTTCTGCTGCTGTCCTCGTCCCAGAGTGGCTGACTTTGATGGACTCAGAGGTTTGGAGACGGCAAGTACTGAGTTCTTGGGCCGCTGCATCGTTAGTGAGCGTCTACCTAGAGTCTGTATCCCTGCTCCTCCTCCCCCTGCTCCTACTGTGTTGGTCTTCACACTAAGGACCAGCATGCACTGTTGGCAGGAACAAGGCTGGCCCAGTCCAGTCGCTGGTAAGCCCCCATTGGGGTAGACAGAGCTTCCGATCCCCAAGCTGGTCCCCGACACCCCAACACCCAGCAGGGCTCCTGTTAAGCCTCCACCTGCTCCTACACCTCCTCCTTTGGGTACCGGGAGAGGACCAGACACCAAAGGGTAGGCCATGTCAGCGCGTCTCTGGATCCTCCGACACCTCTGGCTCTGTCTGTTCACCTGCATGAAGACAGAACAGTTGCTTACGACACTTCTGATTACCCCTCATTATGGGGTCCATTTGGTGAAAGAACTAAAGATTATGGAAGAACGTTGTCATTTATGTAAAGAATTTAAACACACCTGTGTCATGTTCTGGTAATCAATGAGGTAGCAAAAGCCGAGTGGTGTCAGGTCGAGGCAGGGCTGCTGGCGGTTGTGGGCGTTCTCGATGGCAATGGCCACCTCCATGTCGTAGGGCGTCCACGTACCCGTGTCGTTTTCCCACTCCCACTGCCAACCCTGACCCGGAGCCGAGGCTGGGTCATAGAAACTCCTCCGCACTGGACGGATGGTTCCTGAAATAGAAAGGGGAAGAAACATAAAAAAACATTTTGTCTTAATAGGTTTCTCCAATGGTTAACCAAGAGCCGCTCCACCAGATAAAAGACACAAGGTTTTAGAAGCAAAGCAAGTAAGGCAGGGGTGATGTAATAACATAAGTGGACAAAATTGTTACTATAAATCTACAGGTTGAACATTTGGGGTTTGGATTAGGTCCTTGCTGGATGGCTGAGAGTGGTTTCTCTTCTAAAGTAGACAACTTGGTATGTGAATTTCAATAACTAAGCAGATGTTAAACTATAGTCCAGCCCTCATTCAAAATGCTGCAAACGATTCTATTACCTCTGAATCAACAGGCTGCCTGCAGGAACGACGGAGACATGGAAAGGGTCTGAAAAAGGCACTTGGCAATATGCATATGCAACAGCTAATGACCACAGAGCTAAACAGATGCATGATTCCCATTAAGATACTTGGATGAGTGGGTAAACATATCCAAACAATGTGACAAAAGGAAGGGGGTGCCGGCCTTGTGATGCTGGGCCCTGCAGGGCGGTGGGTTAAATAGTTTAAAGAGTCCACTTTGCCCTTTATCTCACATTGACTTACTCATATAATTCACTTTCAGTCCAATATTACACTGACAAACACACTACTAAATAATCTAAACACAACAGAAGAAATAACTAGAAATACACAACGTCTCACTGTCTCCCAGTGGGACTGGGCGATCGGAGGAGGGTCCCTAGACCAACCAACCAGCAACTTCCTCGGTCTCCAGGGGTAACAGGCTATTCAGTCAATGCCAGGACAAGGGGAGGAAGGCATATGTGAGTGAGTGTGTGGTGTGTGTGTGTGTGTGTGTGTGTGTGTGTGTGTGAGAGAGTGAGTGAGAGACTAGTACAAAGAGGTGATACTGGCAGTGTGGCATCGGCACACAGACATCAAAAGGAAGGGGTTGAATGGACGGGGGGGCGCGTTTGGTTGATGTGGACGGAGAGATGGAGACAGAGAGAGAGTGAATAAATAGACTGAGGTATCACCCACTGTATTGTTTGTTGTGTCTATAGTTGTACAGTAGTTCATTTATTGGGGGAATACCTAAAGCGAAGATCCTAACATGCCAGTAGATCTGTTTGTAGGACAAAGCATTACAGGAAGAGACAGACGAATATACAGAAAGGCTTTAAAATGTGTGTGAGGTAAAAGGGTGTTTGTGAAATCCTCAGTCACTACTCTGCTGAATGAATCCAGTGCGGCAGGGAGCATTTGACCTGCTGATTACCATGTGAGATTTAATTTCTCTCTCAAACTGGGCGGTGAATGAGTTTGTTCACAGTGAGACAAACAGCAGACTGAAGCCAAGCTGCACTGCTGTCTGGTGTTCTCATACAGGCAGCAGAGCCTGGGAGAGCTCACATGATGCCATGATGTTATTTCCTCAAGGTACAATTACACAGAATGACAATTGTTTTTACACTGACAAATAAAGACTTTGAGTTATTATCAGGGCACAATCTAGGTGTGTGGAAAGGACACACACACAGATACACACACAAGGTCACAAACTGAAAATTGTGAGGTGGATAGATTTATTTGGTGTGTGGAAGATTCCTGACGTCATTATTGATTAGACTTTGTATGCATGTTCACTTGTGAGCAAAGTCCTGATCACTTCAAATATGCATTTGCAGAAAGTGATAGAAATGTTCTCTGACACCAGAGTAACTGATGAAATATTTCATTTTGGTAATTATTCTTAATGTGGGCATGCATTATTTTAAATTACACTGTCTATTAAGTAGTTTCACCCTCAGAAAACGACTTAACCCGATGGACTTGTTGTGGAGACAAAAGCTTTTGCAATAAAGGTGTCCACTCTAAGAGGACAAAACCACACGGGTACTCTTTCATAACCTCTCCATTGTGCTAATAATAAAAGGAATAATCTTCAGCTTTCTTGATCCCTGAAGGGATTCTGTTTGTGCATGTATGAATACAGACAGAGCTATTATGGGAAAGGGAGTTTTGAGTCCAGAGTGACAGTCAAACAGTATCTGTATATTTCCTGTGTAGTCAAAGCTTTATCTATGTGTTATCTGTGTTGGAGTCTCTGAATCAGGCCAAGGTCTTAACACAAAGAGGACAACCTGCCTTTGTCTCTGAACATGGCATCAACACCTGCAATCAGGGTGTTTTGTGTGTTTATGTGCACATGGGTGTTTTGTGTGTATTATCAGGCCCTGATGGGTACATTTTAGAGAAAGACGATATAGTGAGTGAGGCTCCCAAACACTACTGTGACTGACATGTGGCTGCTCTGAAATCATATATAGTCAATAGTGAGGATGCTTTTCTCTGTGCTCCATTAACCGTGGAGGAAGCCTGGTCAACTCCCCCTTTTTGTGTACATAGATATGCTAATGTCTATGTTGAAAAGACAACTCCATTTTAATGATGGTTAAAGGAAAAAAGAGACATCCAGTATATATAGTCACATTTTCAATTAGCTGATATTAGCGAAACGCTAGCGAACTGGCTAGCTAATCTACAGCAATCGTTACCTAGCAAGTTAGCTTGAGTACTGCTACAGAAGAAAAGGGTTTTCATCGATCAACAGATAGCTAGTTAGATAGCATTTTGCTTACACCAGCTAACTTGTCATATGTCACCATATGTATGTCGCTTTTACCTTCTAACCATCTTCAAAATGTATAAGAAAGGAGAGAGTAAACTGAGGTTCTGACTGAGGCCTGCTCCACTGTTATTGGAGCAGAGAACAAAAAGGGGCGGGACTTAGGAAAGGGCTTTGAAGCCAATGTGACCTAGTAGCCAAACCGTAAAGAAGCAATGGCGTCTGTCACGTGAAACACACTGGCCCAAAAATGTTTCCCATTAGCTTACATTGTGAAAGAAGCGGCTGTGAAACAACAACACAACCCCCACAGAGTCTGATCTATTCGGTACGATAACATTTGAAAGTCTAGAAGATCCTTAGAAGTTAGCGGAGGGCTAAACCCGAAGTTAGCCGGCGGAAGTCAATCATGTATTCATCCGGGTAATTGTTTTGCAGCAGGAAGTGTTTTTTTTGCTTCGTGAGCCCCTGAGAATGAACTGAGCGCCACCTCCAACACTGTATCCTCTCTCTGTATACATCCATGGGGGCAATTAGCTGACTTTAATCCCAATGAGGTCCCAGTGAGGTCCATGCGGTGATGTCCTGTTATACTGATTTCAAATTTAGAAAAAAGAGTGACTGGTGTCATATTTGTGTTTAATATTAGAAGTACCACCAGTTGAGGTATCAGAACTGGCATATATGATATACGAATGTGTGATTTAAAACAATGATTGGCGCAGTTGTTTGTCTAGCCCAGGGAAAAGGCCAGACCTTTGAACTCTTTCGCCTCTCCTCCTCAACTGTTCTCCCTTTACGCTGGTGAGCACAGGAGACTGGGTGTGTGTGTGTGTGTGTGTGTGTGTGTGTGTGATTGTTTAATCGTGCGTTTATGTGAATGTAGGTTATGCTAAGGTGTGCCTATTAACCAACACTTGTCGGATAAGTGTTACTGGCTCTGACACTTACAATTGTAAGAAAGTGCATTTTTGTTTGAACATGTGTATGCACGTGTGTCGTACAGAGCAGTAGCGCAAACAGTAATACAGCAATACATGTTTACTGTCAGAGCCGGATCAACACAGGGCAGGCTGCTGCTTCTATGTCAGTCACAGTTGGAATCAAGTGCAACATATCTGGGTGTGGCCACATTGGGTTTATACACTGGCCAGACTGTGTGTATGTGTTAGTAGTGCAGGGTTTTAAAAAATGAACCCATGGTCTACGGTCAATCTACCAAAAAGAAAGTAGTTGAAAAAAGTAGTTGTAAATTGTTTTAAAAAACCAAGAACATACACACTTGAGCTGAATAAACTGGACACATCTGGAAGGCGAATAAACTGTCATTATGTGTGCGGTGAAGAGCCAAAGGCCAAAGTAAACATCGGGAAGAGCACGAGTGAGGGAAATTAAAGTGTGTGAAATGTGTGAGAGAGAGGACAAAGGGGCCTGAGGCAGGTGGAGAAAGACTTGCCATCTGGTCTTTATTGTTCCCTGTACCACTGACCCCTCTCCACACACACACACACACACACACACACACACACACACACACACACACACACACACACACACACACACACACACACACACACACACACACACACACACACACACACACACACACACACACACACACACACACACAGCTGCAGACTGACCAGCAGGCGAGCACATGTTAAGGTGGGGTCAGGCAGCTTCGTGCGTGGCAGGAAGGTGTTTGTGCTCCTCTCACTTATGGCAAAATCCTCAAGATTAAGAGTAACTCAAAAACATTCCGCATCCCATCAGCCTGCTGTGTCAGAGTGAGAAAGATGCCTCAAGGTCTTCCCCAACACCACTCAACCACAACCAAATGCTTTGCTTACATTAACACTGAGGTAAAAAATCAATAGACGCAACCATCTGAAGATTCTTAGTGAGTTTTCATTTGCTGTTGTATGTTTTCTTGATTGTTCACTGCCACACACCTTGCCCCCACCAATCACAAACCTCACATGTACAGGGAAACTCAAGGGAAGCCACTGGGAACAGAAAGCTGAGCGATATTGACTAAGAGTCAGTGAATCTGTGCTCCTAAAATATCCTTGTTGACTGTTGCAGCGAGGTTAACCACAGCCATGTCAGCCTCCTAAATCTTGTTCAAGATTGTGCTGCACTGTTTTAACCACGGTGGCAACCCCGCCATGTTCAACACAGATTGTGTTTGTTGCCAGAGTTATATGATAGTAAGCTGAATATCTTTGGGTTTTGAACTGTCGGACAGACAGAACAAGCTATTTGAATACGGGTTATGGAAAGTTATAATGGCAATTTTTCACTTTTCAAGACATTCTATTTACAAAACTAACTAATCAGCAAATTAATCAACAATGAAAATAATGATTGGTTGCAGCC